AGCAGGGTGTAGCCGTGTTGTGATGAAGTGCCCTGTCCTTTGCATGACAAGAGTTAGCAAACATTGCGAAGCTGGGAACTCCTTCAAGCTGCGTGAATGAGTTTGCCTATGGCTTGCCAAAATATGCATAATATTATTTCTTTTGCTGAGCATTGGCTTAATTAGGGATTCAGGAAACCACTTGACTTTCCCTAAAAGTCCTGCCAGCTTTATCAGCAGGTAACCGGATCTGCAGCAAGACTAGCAAAACTGCAGGCTCTTTATTATTATGTGCAGTACAATAGTTTTCAAAATTCACTTTCAGATTTAGGCCCCATTTTGCTCAATAGTAGAAACTTTGCAGTGTTTCCTTTACGAAGCATGACGCACCTCACAAACACTTAGCCTTTTTAGGTTTTTTTTTAATGCATTCTACTTGGTTACTGTTTTGGCTTCAGATTTGCTTAGGGCAGAGGAATTATAAGCAGAGAGAGGCAGAAGAAAAAATAAACAAAGTCCCTGTTCTCCTTATGTGGCACCAAACTGTGCCAGCTTGGTTTCTGAACAGCAACTTCTGTTCTTTTAGAGAAGTGCGTGTTTTGCTTTCATTGAAATATTCCAGAAAAATAAATCACGACACTGAGTTATCCCAAAATAGTTACAAACTACAATAGTTTTATCAAAGTCCCTTTGCGGTATTTCACCGTGCCTTGAGCTCCTTGAGATTTACCCAGCCTTTTCCATCACCCTCTCTAAGCGCTGAATCACTGCAGAACATCTGGCAAGGTTTAAAACAAAATCTTCGCTTTCTTCAGTTCAGGAGCTTCGATTCGGAGCTGCTCTTTGGGCACCATCTTTTCCTGTGAAGCAGCACAATTTTAGGCTGGGATCCTTACTGAGCTAAGAGCAAAGAGCAGATCCACTGCTGACCTTTCTTTCATTGCGATAAATCAGGCTGCCCTACTGAAGTACGTGGGGGTACATTGCTGTAAAAGTGCTATGTAATCATTTTCAGGCCCATGTGTATTTGTTATGTAGATATCTGAACATATATATATCCATTGACTGACTACCTGTGCCTTGAAACAACATTTCAGCATTTAATTCAGCAGCTCCGTGTTGGGAAGGAGCTTGGAGCGTTCCGATTTCACAAGCTGGTTGGTAGTTTTGTGCTCTGTGCTCTCAATTCCATTAGGTAAACTCTGCACTCCTGTTAAAATGACCTGTGGAAGTTTAAAGAGTCTAAGCCGGGGTCTGCGGACACCTTTTCCGCATATGCATTTCTCATGCGCTATCAAAAGCACGTAAGCCTCAGCGTTCAATCACTTAGACCTTGTTTCTTTAATAACTTCCTGAAACACACAGGTGCAATTTAGGTCATGCTGAAAAAAAATGCGCATTTACTTATCTATGCGCAATGAGACGCTACCAGTCGAGCTACAGTTTAGCTTAGAGAAAGGGGCAGAGGTTCAGTTCAGCTGCCGTGCGAAGGAGTTGGATTCGTCCTTACAAGTGAAACGAAGATCCAGAACTTTGAACTGACCTACTGTCTTGCAGAAAATCCAGCATCCCAAGAGAGTCAAGCAGCTTTTTACGGTGCTCACGCGTTTCTGTTCATTCACAGATTGTTTGTTAGATGTCATTTGCATGAACAGTCAAACAGTGTTTCAGTTCTGTTCCATCAACAGTCGCATGCCAAGTTCCATTTTGGCATGCAACAGTGATCCGGTTGTTCTGTTACTTCACTATTGTTAAGAGAGGCTTAGGTTAACTTCTGGAAGTTAATGGGAAAGTGGTGTGCAGCAATTTGGATTCTGTGTTATGAACTAATTAAGTACTTATTTACATGCTGTGTTTAGTGTCTTCCTTGCACAGGCCTTTGTGTTCAGTATTCATTTCACATATAGATAATTTACAGCCTATTTCAGCATCGTAGATGCATGTGTTCTCTTTCCAGTACATGAAGGATTAGGCAAATTAACATCCCTGCATGAAGATGGTGATGCCCTGGAGTGTCGGGGGTAACCAGTAGAAATCGTGATGAAGCATCCTTGTCAACACGCAAGGGCCTTTTTCTTGGGCGAAAGATTTTTTTGTAAAGCAAAATGCATGTCTAGATCTTACGTCTATATAATCTGTCTTCAGTAATGTCCCTCAAAGTAAAAGATTTTTTTTAAATGCAGGAATATGAAGTTAATCTTCTCAAGTCTCACTTATGCACGTAAATAAATGATCTAATTTCCAGTGGTATTAGAGGGCACAGATCAGCTCCTTTTGCCCTGCAGTGAGAGCATTGCGCCGGACGGGCTCCTCGCCCCCAGCTGCCAGCCGGGCGCCCGCTCGCCC